TGATGAGTGGTGTGAACCTACATCTGCTCCCCTTCTTCACCCGATCTTGTGTTCAGTAGGCTACACCTACACTTTCTTCACATTGAGATGAAGCTGACCTGATCTGATTCGTAGTGTAGTGTGTACATCTGGTGAAACCACATACATGTCGCTGCCTTGTGAATATCCTTGTGTTTGTACACACTGCCTCACTCCAATCATCAAATCGTTGAATGCACAGAAATCTGCAAACAATTCTCCATTCTCATTCATCATTTCACCGAGTGCTTCTCCACCCATGGTGACTTCTCTTCCTGTGTTGTCCACTCCCAGTTTGGCATTCATGTCACACCAACCATCAGAATTTCGATGTCACCAAGTGGGATGGAGTCTTGTCTAGTACTGATTGCAGTTGTCTGTAGAATTCCTCCTTCTTCTCTTCATCTGCATTATTTGTGTGTGCACAGAGTAGCGTAGCATTGAATGATTGTGACTTTGCTTCCTTCCTTCCTTCCTTTTGAGTTGAAGCTTGCTGTCATGATGCTGATTGTGGAGGAGATTGGTTCCCACTGCATGACAGAGAGAGAGAGAGACAGAGTCTTCGATGCTCTCGAGGACATCATGATAGCCACTGCACAACTCAGTGTGCTGTGTTCGTGGTTGTCGTCTGGGTGACAATATCGGAGTGGATTATTGACTACTCTCCAGTGAACAGTTTCGAGAGTCCATTTCCATTCCATCTGCAGATTCCTCACAGATTCCAAACACTTCCATCCCATATCTCCTCATCTCTTTCGCAATCTGGACAGCCAAGCCAACTAATTTCATACATGGTGTAGACATTCCATGTCCCATCCTTACATTCACTGTCATCGGGGGAGAGAAGATACATCAGTCAGTTGGCTTCCTGAAGGCAGGCTTTCACCAACTGGCATCATTTCCTCTCTCAGATTCCAGTGACGAATAACTTTGTTTTCATTTCTCATATTTTCTTTGTGCTTGCTTACACGTTTCTTCAGCGATTGGATTGGTTTTGCGAAGTAGGGTTGCTTGACCATTGCCCAACCTTCCCTCTTTAACCAGCCTTACGACCGACTAGTAACCAGTGAACTAGTTAACATTTCCATCTCATGAATCATCGAATTGTGACGTGGTTTTCCATCGAAGTTGGAAATACTCTGCACATTTACACACCAGTTTACTGATTGCAATGAAAGTGTGTGAGGTGGATGTGCATTGATAGATTGGTGTTGTTCAAACTGACTTCATGATGATTGGGGGTGAAGTGAGAACTCTCATTTACATCCACTTCATATCTGATGTTTGTGCAAGTTGCATGCTGTTACAATTCACAACAGTCACACGAGTTTCTCCATCATTTCCAGAGATGCTCCTCATTCAAACGTATGCTTCGTTGAGGAGGAGGATGATGCATCATTGTTCTCTTCACAACTTGTTGTGTGACGATAATTTGTAGACACTGAAAGCCTGTTGACTTCGGAAAGCAACCGTTAAGAAGACACAGAGACGACTTTCTATGCAAAACATGATTTCGTTTTGAGGTTTGTGTGTATCGACTGATTTCAAGGGGATATTGATCATGGAGACATATGAGTGAGAGAACCATTGAAACGCTGTGAGCACTGGACAGCTGTTTCATCCTGACATAGGTATCCAATATCTTTATTATTCAGTGTGAGTTATTGTATCGGAAATCTATTCATAGCATCACTCTATATTCTTCACCTTGTCATCCTTCTATGCGAAATTCTTTCACTCACTATACCGTTTCTGTGCAGCGATATCGTGAGTGAATTACAACACCAACACACACACACACACACACACACACACACACCAGGAATACTTGGGAACTCAATGTATGTTCATTGATTCTGTTGCAGCCCACACAGTGACAAATAAAATGAGCATAAAATATTCTACACACAAAATTATTCGTCTTGTCGTTAACCCAATTGTACAGAGAAAATCGTCCGTCACATTAGAAAGAAAGACAACAGGGAGCAATTGAATGAAATTTATTGTGTCACCATTCTACTTGTAAGACACTCTTCACATTCACCCACCATTAACAAGTGTACATGCAGTTTACAATGAAATGAGTAAAACATTGGAAGCATTGAGAAATACATGTTTATCTATACTCCTCACTACAATATACTGACATTGTATAACCAAGCATAGATTGGATGCCCAATCGATTTGAACCAACAGTTGCCTATCATGCACATTGCTTCTAAGGCAGAACAACTCTTCGACCCGTCCATTGGAAACATTAGTAATATGGAAGAGAATAATGCAAGTAAGAATAGACATAACATGTTGGACATGTAGAGACACTCAGAATCCGGAAATTCTCCTCTCCATGTCAACTGAATAAACGAGTAGATCATCTGAAATGATAAATGGAATAGAAGGAATGTGATGTTTCAAACATTCTGATGTGTTTATAATCATTACCGGAAAGCAGAAATTCTCATTCACTGACAACATCAAGATGTCACAATTCAAGTAAACGAGTGTTGGGAAGGGTGTGGGAAGAGTTTTCATACATCTACCACTTCTCTCACTTGTGGAGTAGCATCACAACGAACAGGCTGGTTACTGACGAAATCTCAGCTCACATGTAGAAGGCTCTTTTCGTGTCTCTCAGATTGCTTCATCTGTGGAGCCGACTACCGAGATATCCGACTACCCGTTAGAGAATGCCTAAGTATATTAGACGTCAGTTTATTCTCACCTGTTATACGGATGTGAGACATGGCCGTATAAAATAGAAGATATGAAGCGGTTACAGGTGCTTGACCATAAGTGTCTTCGTAGCATATTTCGTGTGTGTTGGAATCAGGGTGTGTGTGTGTGTGTGTGTGTGTGTGTGTGTCAATGTTGAAGTTGTGTGAAGGATACTAGGCAAGATAGACAAGTCGACCGATGAGTTTGTGAACTGTAGTCGACTGAGATGTCTTGTTCATGTAGTGTACATGCCGAGTGATCATCTACCTCGATGTGCCGCACTAGGGAATGAGGATTATCTTGGAAGAGGTTTGAGGGTGGGGAGACCAAGATGTGGGAACAGTCGATGGAGTGTGTGACTGTTTGTCTGAGCCGTGTGGGAGATAAACATTACCTGGTCACACACCGTGAGACGACAGGAATCAATGGTTGTGAACTCTTGCTGACATGCCTTAAGATCCTATAAAAAGGTGCAATGATGGAGAAATTATTGAGATCATGGTCAGCAGACGTCATCAATGCTTTAATCATTGATGCTGTAATAATTGTCACGTTGATCATGTCATTGTCATCACAGATGGGATGATTATCAAATGGGAGTGAAACTGCTTCACTTTGTGAAGCAAGGCTTACCCCGACATACACCTGATGGCACTACTTCCAGCTAGTGTCACAAGGTGCAACCTCATCCATGAAGAATAAGTATTCTGACAATTCATATACATAAGGAAAACAGTTCACCAAGACTACACGGGCATCTAATCATGCTACAGCAAAACGTGGGTGACCGAACATGAAATCTGGCAACATGTCAGAGACAATGTGAGAGGGTGATTCGACACGAATTACGAAATGCACATCATTGAACAGAAGTACTCAGTGGAGGGGTGTAATCTTATCTATGCATCAATGCAGACTATACAAACAGACCTTCGACTTGATTAGCACAAGACGGACGAAAGCGTATTATGAGTAAGACAAGGTTGACTACTGTTTTGAAAGCGTAAACAGCATAAGGAGTCGTGATATTCCAATCTTCTCACACCTACTTAGCCTGCTACAAGCCTAACCTATCTCCGTCTATATCTCGCCACATACTTCCACGGACAACAACTAAACATCCAGCAACAATCTCATCAGCCCCCACCCCCCCACTCATTCATATACTCATTCTGCTGTTGATCAACAGACACAATTTCCACCACCGTTTAATCGACTACAGATACAGGAGTTCAACATAGCATTTCAGGTGTGGTCGTGGTAATTTCCTTACAATTTACATCACCATGTTGAAGCTGATTATACCACAAGGAGAATAACATATATGGTGTATGCTACAACTCAAGATACATATGTATGTTCATGCTTTCTCTAATGGAAAAGGCGGTTAATGATATGTGTTCAAAACCGAGAGCTTGATTCTGTTGATGAAATCGCCATATTCCATGTGTATGATGGTTAGTTAACTGCATTGGAATCGTTAATCGAAGTTGAGTAGAAATTTAATGAAGTGACACCGATACATTCATCAGTATATGGAAGCTGTTGATTCACGAAATGAATATTCCCTCCTCACATTTTATGACCATCAATTCAATTCGATGAGTTGACGGACATTACACAGATATTCGGCGTCATTATATCATCAGTCTACATCCTGATATCTGTGTTCAGTTCATGATGCTCATCGGTGATCTTCCCTCTCACAATACCTCATCCACTAGACTACAAACTACCTTACAGTCTATCATTACACTGAACTCTAATACACAACAACATAATGTGATATGAAGCGATTGTTTCATGCAATAGGAAAACTCACGTAACATGATATTATGAGTAAACAGGAAGCCAATAATCGAAGAAACACCTAGGAAAGGGGAAATATGCAAAGTACACAGGAGAAATGACAATCGAAAATAATTATGATTATTTATGCTAGTGAAACATGTCCTTCCATTCAACCAAATATATCACAATCAAACCAGTGATTGATTGATTGGCTGAGAGTAAGTAAGCAAATAAGTGTGTTAGTGAGTGAGTGAATGGATGGATATATGAGTAGGTGACTGAGTGGCTGAGTGTATGAGATGCAGAGTGTGTGAATGAGTAATATCGAATCACCTTCAAGGCTACTTTCAATATCTCGTTGATAACCTCCTTAGGAAAGAAGAGACAAAAGCATATCATATTCATAAACTAGATGTATTTTGTATCTAATTATCCTCAGAATGCATGCATTCCCTTGATCTACGTTTGGAACTTACCTCTCGTTGAATGTCTAGTGCAGCAAGAATATCAGAAATTATGATGATGAGGAGTAACACTCCACCAGTAATGTAAAGCACAATCTTCTTGAGTGATTTTCTCGTTGTTATTTTGATCGCAGCAACTCCAATTAAGAAAGCAATAACAGCTGTAATACCCAGAGCAATCAAACACCATTTACCCTCAAAAAATGATGATAATATAGCGAGTGTGATTGATAGTGCGATGTCCTAAAATTTAGAGAAACGATTGAAACACTCGTTAAACGCCATACACCTTTTCCACATGAGGGATATTAGCTAAATAGTGATAATCGTCTCACAACCTGTACGGACTCAATCTACAACAGCATCGTTCAGTTTATATTTCTTAATGTGAACACGGAGTAAGTGGTTCTGAAATGATGGAGAATATTTGTGGTTGAGGTGGATGGTTTTCGTTGTGTTGTGCTGTGCTGTGTCGTTTGAACTGTCCACTTCAATGGTGAAGCCTTCTTCGTCCTCCTACACAACATCATCATCACTAACTCGAATATAATATGAGTTGTCAGTATGTCTCCGTATGTGATTCAATCGTTTATATTGACCAACTAGTTTGAGACTGTTTATTTCACTTGACCATTATGTCACTGACTGCATAAATTACTCCACTGACTGTTTCTCACTTAGACCTCCAAGCTCTCACTTCTTCATCATTTGTCTCATTGTTTGATAGATTGAGGTTATGTTAATACATCTACTGATTATTGACTGACCAGAATTACAAGCTTCTAGGAATTCTCTGATTTCAAAGAATGCATTCACTCCCTCAAACTAATCTGCACTGACACGGTTGTTTCTTCAAAACTTCTCATAAAAATGAATAAAGTAAGCAATGGTGTGAAAGTCACTTGCATGATCACAACTGCTACAATAAAACGATGCAAATATTTCATCGGAAATGGAGATGCTTCACAAGATGCGCAGCACTGAGCCGTTAACATGCCGTGGTTGATTTTTCAGAGACACGGTCTGAAGAATGTCACTAACGCTATTCGGTTAACTGTAAATACTCCATCATATTTCATTCAAACTTCCTGAAGATTAGGAAGTTAATCCTCTATGGGATCCACTTGCTACATCTGAAGCTCTATGGATGCCGATGATAGTTGCCACTTACATAGAACTGATGAATAATTGCTGCAATCAACCTCACAGTTGTCTCCTCCACTTCTCCTACATAACACTTCACTGTTGCTTTCACTTCTTCGCCATCGGTTCACTCTGTCACCAGTCGGGATGTCTCGATTTGCGATCTGCATAATTTCGCCTCATCTTTATCACATGTCTCATTCACTTCACTAATTCGAATTCATATGATGAGGTCAACATCTGGCTAGACTGTAAGATCATATTAGTTATTGGTTATTGATCATGGCATGTTGAGGTAGGCGATGGCTTGACATGAGTATTACATGTGCAAGCCATCACAGTTGACTGCAGACAGTTCACGACCTCATCAGTCGATTTGTTTGTCTTGCCTAGTACACTTCACCGGACTTCAACATTGCACACATTGACTCCACCAAATGTGAAAAAGGCTATGAAGATACTTGCAGTGAAACATCTGCCACCGTTTCTAATTAGAGGGAAATAGTTATCCTCAAGTCAATCAAAATTCATGTGAACGAAGGTGAAGAATATGACCAGTTTATCCAATGTGGTGTTGATCACAGTTGTGGCAGTTGACTTTGTAAATCGTGTTTGGCTCATCTTCCCTGGTTGTTGCATCATATGGCCTGCATAATATGGCTTTAGGTGAATTTGTTTGTTTGTGAGTGACACCGATTTCAAGTGTTCTGAATAATCCTGTCATGATCTGTGATACGTTCTTTAAGAATGGTAGGATTATGCCAGTGTTGACTTCCGTGGATGAACGAGATGTGTATCTTCTAATGAATTTTCACCCATGACCATTCTACTTGACCACACATATTTCAACGTGAAGTTGTTGCGTTGCAGTGATTTGTGTTCTGCCGAATAAAGTCGGTGCGTAACTGATTTTCTTCATTGTTGATTTGTTTCTACTGTAGTTGAGAATTTGAGGATTGTGTGTTGGTTGACTTCATGTGTAAAGCAGAGTGTCCGAGTGGATGGTGTTGGTTCTACTGAATAAATCGTGGCTGGATAGCAGTTGGTTGTTCGACTCCTTCTCCAATGTAAATTTGATGTTTTGGAGAAAGCGCACACAGAGGAAGTGAATAAAAGAAAGTTGAGTGAGATAACTACTGAAATGGGAAACATGGATATATCTTCACAACGGCGTTCAGTTTTCGATCACCTCACAAGCCAGTGATTGGTAGAACTACACAACACAATGTCTCCAACGAGCTTCGAAGTCACATCAACTAACCAACCTCCATTCTCTACTCAATCGATTACACACATTCATTCAGTTCTCTGTTCACACCTCATCAAGCATATGAATATTTACAGTTATTGGGGTACACAAAATGTCTTACCAATAGGACTGAGAATAGAATTTGCAAGGGGAGAGAAATGTAATAAATTTCCAGAATAACATACGTCACCATTAAGCACGCTGTTGTAATTCTAAATAAATAGAGTCTGTTAATCGCGATATTGATGCATTACATGACGGCAACAACAAACCACACATTCGTGAGCAGCCCTAACACAGCAGCGTTTCTGTAACCCAAAATATTTTCCTCATATCTTATAAACTCACCCGTATGATGACAGCAGAATACAAGTGACTGGTAGAATGAGCAGAACTGCCGTTATTAGAAGCACCTTTGTATGAGTAAAGTTGAAAACTGTTGCACATTGAAAATCTATTTACCTTCCATCTGACATTCAATCCATCTCTCCGTCCTCCTAAAACCACATCACTTCTCATAAGCACAACTGAACGACCCATTACTGCAACGAATATTATCAAGATGTAGAAGGTGTACAAAATATCAACACATAGATGGAATGTCTTTATATAACCGAAATAGAATTGTCAGCACAAATACTTCGGTGATGAAGGTTCATTTATTTTGTTGATAAGTAAACCTGTTTACGTAAACACTTCGTAACTCAAAGGTGACAAGCAACAACATGAAAGATAGGCAAGCCAATTCACACATTCACCTTTGTAACTTACATCAGGTGGCAAGTTGACGACAACAGTGACTTTGTGTGGTTGGCTTATCAGTGGACAAATCAAACTTGAATGAGAAATCTGATCAAATTTCAATCGTTCATCAAAATGTCTATTGATAATTGTAGGCTGACTGTTTATGATGAAAAATTCATCGAATTGAATTGTTGTTCAAGTAAACATCTACACACAGTTTTTCATTTTGTTCAGTCATCATGATGGTGATATAGTGGAAGGTGTAAAGGTGAATAATCGAAGCAAGTGGATGTTTGTTTATCTCAGGTGAAATGTTACATGTGATTGACTGAGGTTTTGTGAGTAAACATTGAATTAATCAACCTGTTTGTTCTCAGAATTTCATGAAGCTGAACGAATATATATGAGTTGTTTTCGTGAATTTATTTGTTGAGAATTGGTTTTGTTTTCTGACTGTCTTTAACTATTTTCGAGTTATGGTAATGTTGAATATCCAGACGAGGTTGGTATCTTCTTCTACTTCGCCAGCTGTCAAGCTGGTCCTGCTGTTGCTGCTGCTGCTGCTGATGATGATGATGATGATGATCATGATGTTGATTACATTGATATTACTTGCACGTTTTCCTTCCTGATTTGATTCCACTGATGCAAAATGATTGTGCACTACACATTAGCATCAGACAATGTCCGACAACAGTTTCACGTTAATGGCAAGTTTATTTTCATGTGAACACTTATCACGGACTGACATCAGTTGGAGAAGGAGTGAAACACTGGAAGCAGACGAAATTCGTTTCCACTTGCTATCGGACTTCTCAGTAGTATGCACCAACTAACTCATCACGCATCGAACTCACTCAGAGTACGGTAACCAACCATCCACTCGATCGGCATTCAATGGTCCACACTCTCCTACAACTGTCAACTGGTGCGTGATACAACACGACTGGCCACCGAGGATTTCAGTTGACATGTGCTTCACTCCCCACTACATGACCACACAGGTCACAACTCCCCATTACAACATCAAGGTGACCATCTCGAAACATGTCAATAATGAGCAGTATACACAAATGTAGTTCGAGTTTTATGAAGATTATATTTATGCGAAGGACTCATCTCCCTATCGAAGACGAGATTTCTGTTTAGGTGGAACAAAACAGGTGTGCAGTGTCACCAGGTTTTCAATGCTTCAATTGTGTTCGGTAAGGCAATCCCTCTAATGTTCAGGAGTAGAATGTGAAAATCTTCTTGAAGATAGAAGGAAATCACCACTGTTGTTTCAAGTCAAGGTAACGAGTGGACAACTGGCATCGTGACATTTCCGTTGAATTTCTTGATGGTCTTCAGTGAACTTCCATCTCACAATACTTCATCCACTAGACTACAAACTACCTTACAGTCTATCATTACACTGAACTCTAATACACAACAACATAATGTGATATGAAGCGATTGTTTCATTCAGCAGCGAAACTGACACAGGATGATTCCATGAGTATGCAGGTAGCGAATAATTGAGCAAATGCCTAGAAAAGAGGAAATATGCAAAGTACACAGGAGAAATGATAATCGAAAATAATTATGACTATTTATGATAGTGAGATGTGTCCTTCCATCCAACCAAATGGGCCAGAATCAAACCAGTGATTGATTGATTGAGTGAGTGAGTGCATGGGTATGTGATTAGGTGAGTGAGTGAGTAAGTCTGTGAGTGAATGAGTGAATTAGTGAGTTAGTAGGTAACTGAGTGAATGAGTGAGTAAGTGAGTCTGTGAATAAGTGAGTGAGTGTATAGGCGAGTCTGCGGATGACTGAGTGAATCAGTTACACATTGATTGGGAGAACGAGTTCGTGACATAAAACGTGGGTGAGTGAGTGAGAGATGGACGGATTCAGTGAGTAAGTGACTGAATGAGACAGTGAGTGAGATGCAAAGTGTTTGAGTGAATGATATACGTGCAGTGTATGCATGAACGGTGCAAAATGCTGCATCACACTGTCAGTAAATGACAAAAAAACAGTTGTCATGTTACACTTGATCATTATTGATTCTTTGTTACTCGTATTCACTTCACCCACGTATACAACACTAATAGTTACATCA